CGGGTTCTGTGAGAGCCAGATAGATATGATTTGGAGACTTATTTCTAATGTTTGATTTTCAGTTATTGTTAATGGTTCACCCCAAGGTTTCTTTAAGTCTAGTCAGGGGATCCGGCAAGGGGATTCGATTTCACCAGCTCTTTTTGTAATAAGCGCAGAAGTGCTATCTCAACTTTTGAATTCCTTGGTTAGTCATCGAGGTTATGTTCCTTTTAAGGTTCCGCTGGGATGTCTGATTGTTACTCATTTAGTGTATGCAGATGATGTTATTATATTTTCTAGTGGAATGAAAAGGTCATTACAATTGGTTATAAAGACACTGGAAGATAATACGTTAATATTGGGACAGAAGGTCAATCATCATAAAAGTTGTTTTTTGACTCATGCTAGCTTTCTTGTTGTGCGAAAGCATATTATAGTATAAGTTACTGGGTTTCATTCACAATCCTTCCTGATAAAGTATTTGGGGTGTCCATTATATTTTGGAAGACGGAAGAAGAGCAATTTTTCAGTAGTATGTAATTCAATGGCAGGTAGGTGTTATTGTGGAAAGAGAAGTTATTATCGTATGGAGGGAAGTTGATGTTGATACGACATGTGCTAGCGTCATTGCCTATCCATATTTTTGCAGCCTCTACCCCTCCTAAAGGGATTTTTGGTATCTTGGAGGAAATTTTTTGCTGATTTTCTTTAGGGCTTCTCCGATTTGGGCCAGGATTCCATTGGATTAAATGGAACCAGCTATGTAGGCCTTATAAGGAGGGCAGTGTGGGTTTACAATCTTTGCAGTATATGTTTGATGTCTTTTCTTTGAAGTTAGGGTGGAATTTTAGATTGCGACAGTCGTTACAGACAGACTTCATGCATTCAAAGTATAGTACAAATTTGCATCCTTGTTATTCAGATTATAGTCCAGGGCAATCGGTCACGTGGAGGAGGATATATACTGGATGCCCAGTTGGTGGCAGAAAGGCACATAAGATGGCTATTGGGTAGCGGCTCACCCAGCTTTTGGCATGACAACTGGTTGGGGTCGGGTTCATTATGTCGACATGTGGAAATTTTACAAGGGCAATCAATTGCAAATTTTGTCGTGAATGGTTGTTGGGATGTGCAGCAGCTACAAATGTATTGCCAGCGCGATGGGTAAAACAGGTATTGGAAGTTATTCCTCCTTCTTCAGTGTAAGTGGATATAATGGTTTGGCTCCGAATAATTCAGGTTTGTTTTCTATATTGTCAGCCTATCAGATAGTGTGGCAAGCCGATAATGTTTCTAGACTTTTCTCTTCTTTGGCGCATCGGGCCTTACATCAAAGGTTTCCTTTCTCATGCTGAGATTGATATCTGGTAGGTTGCTGGTTATGGATACGTTGAATAAATTTGGTGTGTTATGGCCTTCTCAGGGTCCGGTCCTCCCAAGAGAAAAGAAAAAAAATTGAGATGTAATTTGGTGGTAACATGTGGAAGAAATCCATGCACCTTTGACCCAACCTAAGACCAACCTTCTTAACCTTCCTTAGCCTTCATTCTTCTCCATTTTTCAGCTTGGTGGCCGAGACATTGAGAGAGAGAAACCAAGGGAAGAAAACTCCATTTTCATCTTGTAACTTAGTTTATTGAGTGAAAAATCAAGAAATTAAACTGGTCAATCCTTTCATTGAGCACTTGGGAAGCTTGGTGTGCTAAAACTTTACGAGGAGAGCTGGTGGATATCTCTTACAAGCATCTTAGTGAGGTATATTGGCTGTCCATCATCTTTATTTCCCTTAATCTTGCTTAAGTTGCTACCCAACTCATATTCATGGTTAATTGATAGCTATGCAAGTAGTTTTGGTGATTACGGAGTATTTGTGAGTTAGAGTTTTGAATTGTTCAGCTATATTTCTTCTTGTTTAGATAGAAGATGATGTGAATAAGCTTAGATAAGGAGGTGAAGTAGTGTTTCAAGCTAGAATTGTGAGGATTAGCACTTGAATGCATGAATTCCAGTTTTTCGATTTTGTATTACCCTGTTCTGCCCAGTTTCATTCGGCCATGATAGAGGCCAAATCAGCCTTAGGTTAAAACATGAAAGTTGTAGGAAATGATATTTTATAGCTGTCTGCAAAATTTAGCTCAATCCAAGTATTGTAGCATGTGAAAAGAGAAAATTACCCTTGCTGCCATATGTATAGTTTTGTGGACAGTTTTGACATTTCCTCATTTTGGCTGCGTTTTTTTCACCTTGATCCGTATCAAATTAGCTTTTGGACAAAACACAAAACTTTTATCCAATGTTTCAGCTTTCTAACACATCCAAAAACACTTCAAACGAAATTGTGTAGCCTGAGTTATTGTCATTTGAATTCAGTACTGACAACCGTACTGACAAGGATCTTCTAGTTCTGTAATCTGTACTTTTGACCTAGATCAATTGTGAACTAGATTGAGTGGTCTTCATGAAAGTTGTAGACCTTTGTCTTAGCTTCGAAATGGTATAAATTTTACACCAATCCGATAAGCGTATCTACAGTTGTGACCAATACGCTAAGAGACACTGAACCTGTCTTTTTGTTCTTTGCCTTAAACCTTATTTCCGGTCACTTTTCTAGCTTGGTTTTGTAATTGAATGAATTTTAGCCTATTGAACGGCTATTGTAATGAGATTATTTATGTGTGATTTTGGAGGGTGATTGAGGAAAAGAATGAAACCATAAATGGCTGGAAAATAGGTAAATACAAAGGGCGTGCTGCCCAAATTTGCACTCGAGAACTAGGTAAGGATTTGAAGACGAATACTACTTGAACTATCTAGGATATTTGCGTCTTCTTTTATCAAAGTATATAAGTTAGAATTCGGCCGAAACTTGTACCCTTGGAAAAATGAAATTACGACTAATAGAAATACGTTTTCCCCATTTCTTCTACTCAAATGGTATTTCAAAGTATAATTGCTTCAAAGTTTCAAAGGTTTAAGAGCGAGCATGAATTTTTCAGAATTTGATAAATATCTTGAATACTACTTCAACGAGTTGCATTTACTTGATTTTTTTGAACCGAAACTCTTATGTTTCGGACTCTAGAGAGTTTTACATTCGCAAATGATATTTTATCGCAGATTTGGACTCCAACCAAGGAGTTGGACCTGAACGTGACTTTTGAGAGGTACTAGACCTTTGGTGAGTGCTTTCAAATACCTGATTGAACTGGATACTTGTTTTCAATACTTGATCAATGTGATTTAATGATATGTAATTTGTTTGATCGGGCAAGAGTGTACTTTATCGCACTTGCCCTAATATGATATATACTTGTTTATTGTTGCAATGGATTTGATATATTTGTGTATATGGTGTGCACTTTCTGGAATTCCAGAAACCTTGTGGCGAGTTACTCGAGTTGAGCCGACAAGGGCTTGGTCGATTGGGTAACGAACCTTGAGTCTTTTGTTTTGTCGAGTGAAGTGATATCTCCTCGACTAATCGGTATACTCGAGTATTACCACCAGTGTTTATTGAGGATTTTGGGCCCAATGGAGGGTTTGGATGGTGACGGAGAGTAGTTTAAGTGGTGCTCTACTGGATTGGTTACTTACTTGAAAGTTGACGGAGTGTCAACTAATACTTGATCAAACTCTGGTGATGCAATGGGAATTTGGCTCCTAAGAACCATTCGTATCCTAATACTTTGGAATGACTAGTACTTATCGTGTTATTGTTTCGTTTTAAAAGAAAAACTTTACACTCGCTCATTTTGAGATTTGCTGCTTGAAGTGTTATTGCTCACTTTTATGAACTTTCATGCTCATTACTTTGCTACATTGAAACTTGTACTTGTAAACAATAGTCGATTTGTTATTTGGAACCTCACTGGGCTTTTACCTCATTCCACGCCGTTTGTTTTCCTTACAGGGGGTACGAGCGAGGCGTGAGACCCGTACAGACTAGCGTAGTCTAGTTTTTGAATTTTGTAGTTATACTCGCATGAGTCGCTCGATTAACGTTGAATGTATTTAAAATTCCAATCTTTTGATGTATTTGGGATTGTATGGATGGTTGAGATAGAAATGAATGTATTTGTACGTTCCAACTTGGGAACTGTTATTTCGTTTATTATTGAGGTTGCACCCTATTTTGTTTGAGGTGAGTGAGTGAGTCCTGGCGAGAGTTGGGCAGGCGACCCGCCGAACCCTAGGGTACACCCTTGGGGGAGGTGGGGCCGTCACAGATAGTATCAAAGTTCCTATCGAGATCGTACCGGGAGAGGGTTCTCGGACTGTAGGGATTGGCTTGTTAAATGTGGAACAAATGTCTATTGTTGGGGACCTTAGATATGTATGTTGGGTAGAAATCTCAAAAGTGGTTGATTTCCTCTTGAGCGTAGCTAACTCGAGTGGGGAATGATCATATTTTCGGATTCTTGTACTGGAATACCAAAGAGTGATATCTTTATGATAAATCGATATCCCGAGTAATATGAGAGTAAGGTTGATTGGCGAAAGCCAAGGCACGGGGGATGCAAATAGGCTAGACTTAGGATATATGGAAGATATTAGTGAGATTGGGGACCCTTAGTCTTTACGCGTACGTACTTGGTTGTACTTCGTCAAGTCTTGATTAAGTGTGGTGCTTGAGCAATACCTAGGGTTAATGTCCCATATGTTAATTTCAATGTGTTTTATCAGTTTTCACTTTATGATTTGAAACCGTTTTTATCGGCCTTTATAGCTACTTTATTTTGCTTATACTTATATAGGAAAAGAGGTATGGAAGGTAGACGGAGTCAAGGACGTGGAACTACCCAAGGACGCGGTTCTAGCCATGGCCGTGGGGCTAGACAGGCACAAGAACCAGTACGGGAACCGAGAGAAGAGAGAGGTGAAACAGTTGAACCACAACTTGGACCCCGAGCTAAAGGGGGGACCAGGTAGCAACGGCAATTCAGCAAATGACCAATATACTTGCTCGACTGATAGAGCAGTAGGGTCAAGCCCCTGTTAATCAACCCAGGAATCCTGAAATGGGACAAGATAGGGCCCTAGAGAGATTCCAAAAATTCTCTCCTCCTAAGTTCTTGGGAGGACCGGACCCTGAGAGAGTGGAGAGATGGTTAGAAACTATGATCAATATATTCGCTGCTCTAAACTATGCGGAGGATAGACAGGTGCAATTTGCTATTTTTCAGTTTGAGGGTCCAGCTAGGGTCTGGTGGTATGTAATTGGGGCTAAATGGGAAAGAGAGGGGACTGCATGGACTTGGGTGAATTTTGTGCGAGAGTTTAATGAGAAATACCTTCCACCGATAGTCCAAGAGAAGAGGCAAGATGATTTTATTAAGTTTCGTCAAGGAACCCTAAGTGTATCTGAGTATGAGACTCAGTTCACAAAATTATCTAAGTTTGCTCCCAAATTGCTATCTATGGAGCAAAGGAGGGTAAGAAGGTTTGTCCAGGAACTAAATGTGGAAATACATGAGGCTTTGGCGGCGGCACAAATTAATACTTTTACGGAGGTTTTGGAGAAAGCCCAGAGCATAGAAATTGCTAGGGTACAAGTGAGGGCTTTTCATGCAAAAAGGAGAGGTGTGCCTGGTGGAAGTCAAGGGCAGGGACAAGACGATCTAGCTATATCACCCTGTAAGGTGGGTCGAGGGGATGGTGGTAGGCAAATTTCGGGAACACCTAAGGAAATTACTCCAAGCGGAGCCTCGAGTGGAAAGGGACAAGCAAGAGGTGCCTCGCAAGGAGGTCAGACCTCAGCCCCTCGAGTATCTTGTGGGAAGACCAATCATACTGAGGATGATTGTTGGCGAAAGGCATGAAAATGTTTATGGTGTGGTAGTGCCGAGCACCAACTTGCAACTTGCCCCCGTGGGTCACACCTAAACCTTGAACAAGCAAATGTAGGAAGGACTAAATCAAGGGTGCCAGCTAGAATGTACGCCTTGGACCAACAAGCAGTACCTGAACCATCGGAGGTAGTAGAATGTACGAATCGTGTTTTTCATTATTTAGCTAAATTGTGGCTACAATGAGACCTGGGAGTTAGAAACGGATATGTAAGAGAAATACCCTAAGTTGTTTACGACTAAAGGTATGAATTTCGAGGTCGAAATTCTCTTAAGGGGGAGAGAGTGTGAGGACTTGTAAAATCCCTTATATTTTTCTTAAAATTCCCTTTTATTTGAAATTTATTATGTTATAATAGCCTTACTACTCATTCACCCCATAATAAGTGTAAATAAACATAGAATCAAGGGCTTTTCATTTTGTTTTCTCGTTATCGTAAATTAGGGTTTTTACGCATTTTTGTAGTGTGATTATTCGGTACGGAGTGTGTATCAAATTTAGTGATTTAAAAGTGAGTTTTAGATGATATTAAGTGTGTGATTAGAAGTGATAATAATAAGTTAGTGAATTATAAGTTAAAACCCTAGTATACGCGATTTAAGGAAAATCGGCTTGAACCGACGGGTACCGTTCACTACCGATTGAACATACCATTTGACCAACATTTTTATCAAGTTAATCTCATTATTATTAGACCCTAAATATCAGCTCTAAGTATGATCAAGGTGGCCAAAAATTTTGACTTCAAAAAACAAGAGAAAAGAAAAAAATTGAGATGTAGGTGGTGACAAGTGAAAGAAATCCATGCATCTTTGACCCAACCTAAGACCAACCTTCTTAACCTTCCTTAGCCTTCATTCTTCTCCATTTTTCAGCTTGATGGCCGAGACATTGAGAGAGAAAAACCAAGGGAAGAAAACTCCATTTTCATCTTGTAACTTAGCTTATTGAGTGAAAAATAAAGAAATTAAACTGGTTAATCCTTTTTTTGAGCACTTGGGAAGTTTGGTGTGCTAAAACTTTACAAGGAGAGGTGGTGGATATCTCTTACAAGCATCTTAGTGAGGTATATTGGCTGTCCATCATCTTTATTTCCCTTAAGCTAAAACTTTAAAAGGAGAGGTAGTGGATATCTCTTACAAGCATCTTAGTGAGGTATATTGGCTGCCCATCATCTTTATTTCCCTTAATCTTGCTTAAATTGCTACCCAACTCATATTCGTGGTTAATTGATAGCTATGCAAGTAGTTTTGGTGATTATGGAGAATTTGTGAGTTAGGCTTTTGAATTGTTCAACTATATTTCTTCTTGTTTAGATAGAAGATGATGTGAATAAGCTTAGATAAGGAGGTGAAGTAGTGTTTCAAGCTAGAATTGTGAGGATTAGCACTTGAATGCATGAATTCCAGTTTTTCGGTTTTGTATTACCCTGTTCTGCCCAGTTTCATTGGGCCATGATGGAGGCCGAATCAGTATTAGATTAAAACATGAAAGTTGTAGGAAATAATATTTTATAGCTGCCTGAAATATTTTAGCTCAATATGAGTACTGTAGCACATGAAAAGACAAAATTACCCTTACTGCCATAGGTATAGTTTTGTGGACAGTTTTGACATTTCCTCATTTTGGCTGCATTCTTTTCATCTTGATCCGTATCAAATTAGCCTTTGGTCAAAACACAAAACTTTTAGCCCTATGTTTCAACTTTCTAATGCATCTGAAAATACCTCAAACGGAATTGTGTTGCCTGAGTTATTGTCATTTGAATTCAGTACTGACAACCGTACTAACAAGGACCTTCTGGTTCTGTAATCTATACTTTTGACCTAGATCAATTGTGAACTTGATTAAAAGGTCTTCATGAAAGTTGTATCCCTTTGTCTTAGCTTTGAAATGGTATAAATTTTACACCAATCCGATAAGCGTATATTCAGTTGTGACCAATACGCTAAGAGACGTCGAACCTGTCTTTTTGTTCTTTGCCTTAAACCTTATTTCCGGTCACTTTTCTAGCTTGGTTTTGTAATTGAATGAATTTTAGCCTATTGAACGGCTATTGTAATGAGATTATTTGTGTGTGATTTTGGAGGCTGATTGAGGAAAAGAATGAAGCCATAAATGACTGGAAAATAGATAAATACAAAGGGCGTGCTGCCCAAATTTGCACTCGAGAACTAGGTAAGGATTTGAGGACGGATACCACTTGAACCATCTAAGATATTTGCGTCTTCTTTTATCAAGGTATATAAGTTAAAATTCGGCCGAAACTTGTACCCTTGAAAAAATGAAATTTACGACTAATAGAAATACGTTTTCTCCATTTCTTCGACTCAAATGGTATTTCAAAATATAATTGCTTCAAAGTTTCAAAGGTTTAAGAGCGAGCATGAATTTTTCGGAATTTGATAAGTATCTTGAATACTATTTCAACAAGTTGCATTTACTTGATTTTCTTGACCCGAAACTCCTATGTTTCGAACTCTAGAGAGTTTTACATTCGCAAATGATATTTTATCGCAGATTTGGATTCCAACCAAGGAGTTGGACCTGAACGTGACTTTTGAGAGGCACTAGACCTTTGGTGAGTGCTTTCAAATACCTGGTTGAACTGGACACTTGTTTTCAATACTTGTCCAATGTGATTTAATGATATGTAATTTGTTGGATCGGGTAAGAGTGTACTTTATCGCACTTATCCTAATATGATATATACTTGTTTATTGTTGCAATGAATTTGATATATTTGTGTATATGGTGTGCATTTCCTGGAATTCCAGAAACCCTGTGGCGAGTTACTCGAGTCGAGCCGGCAAAGGCTTGGTCGATTGGGTAACGAACCCTGGGTCTTTTGTTTTGTCGAGTGGAGTGATATTTTCTCGACTAATCGGTATACTCGAGTATTACCACCAGTGTTTATTGAGGATTTTGGGCCCAGTATGGGGTTTGGATGGTGGATGGAGAGTATTTTAAGTAGTGCTCTACTGGATTGGTTACTTACTTGAAAGTTGACAGAGTGTCAACTAATACTTGATCAAGCTCTGGTGATGCAATGGGAATTTGGCTCCTGAGAGCCATCCATATTCTTATACTTTGGAATGATTAGTATTTATCGTGTTATTGTTTCATTTTAAAAGAAAAACTTTATACTCGCTCGTTTTGGGATTTGCTTCTCGAAGATATCCAATCATTTCCTTCAATGATTATCAAAGTTCTAATAAAAATTCATTAGTACTGGTGCCACGTCAGAGGATTTGTCATTTAATGAATAATTGAGCAAATATCATATTTACCTGTAGTCGTATTCAGAACATATAAAAGTATAAAACAACTCATGGATGGAGTACTGGATACACCTGAAACGGTGTATATACATATTTTTGGAGTCCAAAATCTGTGGCTTTAGCTATCAGCACATATTTCTTGTTGATGAAACCATCACTAGTTGAAAAACCGACTTTGATACGGATGCTTCAAATTTGTGAGGCCATTAACCTCTTCACGCAATTTTGATTAAGCCATTGCAGAATTAATTAGTGAGGCCGTTTCATTAAAAATTAGAACCGTCGCAATCAAGCTTCAATTATATGGATCAATACCCATTAAACTAGTTAATGGATTTCGGGAAAACAACAATAGACAATCAATTATAAAGACTTCATGCTTTAACGTGGAAGATTTTTATGAGCATCATTATGATTAGTGTTAAAGTAACATTTATGTACCTGTTCTGTGAAATGACAACTATCATTTAGTGCCATCATAATTGTTGTTTCTTTCCATCCCTTATCTACTCAGGCACCGTGATCAGAGATTTAATTTGTTTCTTTAGTATGATTAGAGATCCTTCGTTTTCATGGTCATTATAAAAAGAAAAATAGGGTTGTTTCTTTTCTATGATTGCCACTTGCTAGCTATTTATGTCATTAACTTGGATTTGACTAACAAGTGCTCTTGACATACTCGTTAAAATACTTAAAGTACATCTAATTTATTATGTGAATGCACACATTCACAATTAATTATCCCCTGCATTTGGATACTTTCTTGTTGTTAGAAAAGTCCATGTTTCCCATTGTTTCTTTGCACTGATTGAGTGCCATTATTCATGGAAAGAGGATTATTCTACTTTGCTTTACACGTTCCTTTTCATTGATTTTGTGTTTTCAGAAATAAGGAGTTTCAAACAGGAAATTTCCTGTTGTCTAAATATTGATTTTGTAAGATCAGGTGATAATCTTGCTGATCCACTTACAAAAGGTCTAGTTAGAGAAAAAAATCTAGAAAGTATCCAAAGAGATTGGAATAAAGTAAAAAAAAAAACGTAAAAGCTATCTAAGATGATACAATCGTCTAAGCACTTGAGATCCCAAGAACCATATTATAGACAAACAAAGAGTTGCTTGTTATGATATATGAAAATTTTTTGATATTATAATAGTCCAATCATGTGATGCATATGGATATGAGAATTAATTTATTAATGAGTTCTATATCCCTTATGGATAAGATGTTATAGTCACAAAAGCATCTTTGATAAAAACCAATTGATAAGTATATATTTTACATGTTTTAAATGTATTTTATTATTTAGTTTTAGTGTGTTTTATTTATTTTTATAACTAATTAAGTATGTTTCTAGTGAATTATGCATTTTGTGGTTTAGTGTCAAAAATTGCATTTCTACGGTTGAAAGTGGTGAAAACTTCATATTTTTGTAGGTTTAATTATTCAATCATTAAATGGAGTGAATTGAAAAGATATTTGGATGATTGTTGATGATTTGAAGCGATTTAAAGAGAATATGAGGTGCAAAGAGGAATACAATCAAGAATAAAAGAGGAAAAGTTTGACAGTTTCAACACCTGTTGGTATTTCGACTATATCTTAAATTACAAGCTTTAGATTGAGGTGATTTTTGAGCTATTTTGAAGCTAACACATAGCTCTACATTTCTTGTGAGATTTTAAAATCC